CCACAGGTGACTTACTTCTCCAAGGCTGCCATTTGGTTCCTACGGCTCCAGTATATCCACATTCAAGACAAGACCAAGGAGGATGGATGATGGGATACGTCCCTGAGCTTGTCTCAGGAAGTCCTCTTCTTGGAAGTCCCACCATGTAGACCTCCACTTATTTCTCCTTGTCCAGAGATGTCCATGGCCACTCCTACTTGCAAGGAAGCCTAACAAAGTAAGATTTGTAGCTGAAAATCTATCCCAAGCAAAATCAGGTTATGCTAATAAGAACAAAGGGACAGTGGCTATTAGAGGCAGTGATTCCCAGCAACATCCCCAGGGTCTATTGCACTGCAACCAGAATTGCTGACCTAGCCAGTTCTTAGAGATGCAAACAACTCATCGGGGAGCACACCTTTCAGATACAAACGAACCAATCCAGACCCCAGTGCTGTGAGCCACCTCCATCTGGCTCTCTCAGTCCAGGAGGCAGTAGTCCTCTGCCCTGATCACCACCAGGGCCACGTCCCAGGTAACTAGAGACAGAACCTCTACCCCGAGCCTGCGAAAATAATTCAAACTAGCTATCCTAAGCCGGACTGCCCTGCCCTGCCCTGCCTTGCCCTCTCTCTCTCATGGAAACCACAATAAGGCCCTGCCCATGCTTTTCCCTCCATCTTTCTGCTTCCTGACCAACCCTGGTGCTTCCCCATAAGGCCCCGGCATGGCATGGCAGCTTCCTGTTTCCAGGGATTGGTGAGTACAAAAAATATGCTTCATGACAGGTAAAAATATAAATAATAATTATAATATTAATAAAAATAATTAGTAAATTTTTCTTTGAGTTTTTGAAACTTCATTATTCTGAGATAATTTTAGACTTGGGGAAGAGGTGGAAACAATGACAGAATTCCCACTCCAGCTGCTCCTGGGCCCAGCCACAGCATATTTCTCAAACCTCATACATGCTTGCGGGTTCGGCACTGTTCACTGCAGGCTTGGCTCACCTTTTACTGTTCCCACTCGTCCCTTTTCTGCCCCAGACACAAGTTGGTCCCTCCGTGTTATTCAGTCTCTAACAAGGCTGGGCCCTCTCCTTGTCTCCCAGGCCCGGGACCATGGAGCAAGCTGCCACGGGATTTTGTATGATGCCCTCTGTTTGTGGTCTCAAGATCAGGACCATGGAGCACGGTGGGGGTGTGTGCTTCTTGTAGCTACCTTGTCAGGGCACACGTCGGGGTGTCTTCTCACCAGCCAAAGTAGCCCTTGATTCCTCAGTAACTGTTTTAGTTCAGGCTGCTACAAAGAAGCAGAGCCTGCGCAGCTGAAGCTAGGCTAGGCTAGGCTAGGCTACGCTAGGCTGCTAGGCTAGGCTAGGCTACGCTACGCTACTAGGGTACTCGGCTAGTAGACCACTAGTTTACAAGGCTACTAGGCTACTATGCCACAAGTCTACAAGGCCTCTAGGACACTAACCTACAAGGCCACAAGCCAACAAGGCCACTTGGCCACTAGGCCACTAGTCTCCTAGACTATGAAGCCACTAGGGTAACAGACCCTATGGTACAAGGCTACTAGGCCTCTAGGTCACTAGGCCACTAGTATACTAGGGTACTAGGCTATTTGACTACAAGACTAGTAGTGTACTAGGCTTCTAGGCTACTAGGTTACTAGGCTTGGTTAGGCTAGGCTAGCCTACTAGGACACTAGGCTTGGCTAGGCAAGGCTAGGCTAGGCTAGGCTAGGCTACTAGGCTTCTAGGCCACTATGTTACAAGGCTACTAGGCTAGTAGTCCGCTAGGATACAAGGCCACTAGGACATTAGGCCGCTACGCCTCAAGGCCATTAATCCACTGGGCCTCTTGTGCACTAGGCCACGTGGCTAATAGGTATTTGGGCTCGGCTCGGCTAGGCTACTAGGCTACTATGCCACTAGGCTACTAGCCCACTATGTTATAGGGTTATTAGGCCACTAGAACAGTAGGCTACAAGACCACTAGGCCACTAGGCTACTAGGTACTAGACTACTAGGTACTGGGCCACTAGCCTAATAGGCCAGTAGGTTACAAAGGCATTAATCCAGTAGGCCAGTAGGCTACTAGGCTACTGTGCTAGGTTAGGCTAGGCTAGGCTACTAGGACACTAGGCCAGGCTTGGCAAGGCTAGGCTAGGCTTGGCTAGTTTACTAGGTTACTAGGTCAGAGTAGGCTACGCTAGGCTACTAGGCCTCTAGGCTACTAGGACACTAGGCTGCAAGACTACTAGGCCATTAGGCCACTATGTTACAAGGCCCCTAGGCCACTCGGCTACTAGTCTACTAGACTACTTGGTTACTACGCCACTAGGCTAGGCTAGACTACTAGGCCACTGGCTAGTCTATACTAGGCTAGGCTACTAGGCAATAGGCTAGGCTAGGCTAGGCTAGGCTACTAGTCCACCAGACTAGGCTAGGGTAGGCTTGGCTAGGTTAGCCCTAGACTACATGCCAGGCCTAGTTGAGGAATTTACACAGCTGAAAGTAAATGAGTCTAATCATTGGGTATGAGCAATTGACCCAGAATGTTAAGAAAGTAAGTGAGTCTAATGAATTGGTATAAATTCTTGTTCAAATCAGGGGTTTCTGTTTTCTTCCAATAAAACTAAACCAGGATCCAAACTAGTTGTGAGGTGACAGAAGATAATTAAAAACAATTTGATAATTAAAAATCTTTCCCCTTATTTTTGTAACTCAGAAGTAAAGTATTAAGTGCCAGTGTAAAAATTAATTCTGCTTTCATCTGAATCTACTTTTTAATGTGAACTGATTTCTTCGAGCAATAACTAATTTTAACGTATACATATTTGAGTGGTAGAGAAAATAAAGCCTTTCCCATCTCCTAAAGATATGCCTCGTCACTAAAGTTTTTCATTTTACTCTTACGCTTATTATTTATTAATTTTACTCGGCTAGGCTAGGCTAGGCCTAGTCCATTCCCACAGGTGACTTACTTCTCCAAGGCTGCCATTTGGTTCCTACGGCTCCAGTATATCCACATTCAAGACAAGACCAAGGAGGATGGATGATGGGATACGTCCCTGAGCTTGTCTCGGCAAGTCCTCTTCTTGGAAGTCCCACCATGTAGACCTCCACTTATTTCTCCTTGTCTAGAGATGTCCATGGCCACTCCTACTTGCAGGGAAGCCTAACAAAGTAAGATTTGTAGCTGAAAATCTATCCCAAGCAAAATCGGGTTATGCTAATAAGAAGAAAGAGACAGTGGCTATTAGAGGCAGTGATTCCCAGCAACATCCCCAGGATCTATTGCACTGCAACCAGAATTACTGGCCTAGTCAGTTCTTAGAGATGCAAACTACTCATCGGGGAGCACACCTTTCAGATACAAACCAACCAATCCGGACCCCAGTGCTGTGAACCACCTCCATCTGGCTCTCTCAGTTCAGGAGGCAGTAGTCCTCTGCCCTGATCACCCCCAGGGCCACGTCCCAGGTAACTAGAGACAGAACCTCTACCCGGAGCCTGCTAAGTGATTCAAACTAGCTAATCCTACACCTGCCTGCCCTGCCCTGCCCTGCCTTGCCCTCTCCTATGGAAACCACAATAAGGCCCTGCCCATGCTTTTCCCTCCATCTTTCTGCTTCCTGACCAACCCTGGTGCTTCCCCATAAGGCCCCAGCATGGCATGGCAGCTTCCAGTTTCTAGGGATCTGTGAGTATAAAAAATTTGTTTCATGTCAGTCAAAAATAATAATAGTCATAATGATAATTAGTAATTTATTTTTTGATTTTTTGAAACTTCATTATTCTGAGATAATTTTAGACTTGCGGAAGAGCTGGTAACAGTGAGAGAATTCCCACCCCAGGTGCTTCTGGGCCTGGCCACAGCATATTTCTCAAACCTCATACTTGTTCGCGGTTTCAGCACTTTTCACTGCAGGCTTGCCTCACCTTTCACCGTTCCCACTCATGTCCTTTTTCTGCCCCGGACTCAGGTCTGTCCCTCTGTGTTATTCAGTCTATGACAAGGCTGGGCCCTCCTCTTCTCTCCCGTGTCCGTGACCGTGACTGTGGAGCGAGCTGCTCTGGGGTTTTGTAGGACGTCCTCTCTTTGTGGTCTCAGGATCACGACCTCACCGCGTGGTGGTAGTGCGTGCTCCTCTTAGTTACCCTGTCTGGGCACACGTTGGGGCATCTTCTCACTAGCCAATGTTGCCCTTGATTTCTCGGTCAGTATTTTAGCTCAAGCTGCTGCAAAGTACCAGAGCCTGGGCGGCTGAAATAGCATTTAGTTCTCAAGTTCAGGCTAGGCTAGGCTACATTGAAACAATACATTCCATTTAGGAGAACAAATTTTAATAATGACCCCATATCCATTATATTCTACTCACTATTACTTTAAGGTGAAATATAAACTCTCCTACTAATATAGATACTTGAGAAACATAGGGAATACTATACATCATGTTAAGAAATTCCACAAGCTAGTAATTTCATAGTCTGTCTTTAACTTGAAACATCTCATGCAACTTTCATAGTTGCCACATGCAGCCTCAGACCTGGAATAATCTGATCTATGGTGTTTTTAAAAAGTGAATTAAATATAGAATAAAAGGCATCTCTAATAACTGGATGTACATAATTGTAAAATGCAATGTAAGGGAAAACCATCAATATCTAAGATGTACATGCCAGTGGAAATTTGAAAGAATAAGAACTGAATTAAAAAGATTGCAGTATCTATATTGGGAGAATAATTTATTTAATTCTTGGAAGTACAATCACTCCCTGCCTTTTAGAAGACAATTCAGGATTGACCAAAATAACTTCAGTTTTATGAAGCTATACAGTCTTCTTTTAAATTTGTTCAGCAAAATCAGAGACCTTTTAAAATAAGTCAAAATTATATTTCATAAACCAAGGAAAACATAGTATTTTACAACAGTAGAAAGGCAGGAGGAGATGACATCTCTTTTATGGATCTAAAGTAATGTAATGCCAATGGTGAAGATATTTGAGCCAGAGTTCCCTGTTATCTACCTATCCACTTTTTAAGGTATCAAGTATTAGAATATAAGTCAAGTATCACATGGTGATAGGATAACTTTAGAATTAAGAATAATTCTGAGACTTACCTAGTAGTTTCATTATAGTATGATTCATTAATTAACACAGAGATAATAGTTGGTTTTCTAAATTCTCATCCTTCGAGGGTTAACTCACCCATCATTATTTCTATATGATCTTCTAAGCCTTTGTGAAGAGTACGTAAAGGCTATTATTTTCCACTTACCTATTCTCTTCTGTTCTGGTAATTTATATTTGACATGCAGAAAAGTAAATGTTTTATTTCACATATATAAACATTGATCCACTTTTATAATCCAAGAATCTCATCCTACAAATTATGAGACATAAAAGACACACATTCTACTACATACAATAGGGTGGGAAGCACTAAAGAGATACTTAGGTAAACATTTTTGAAAGCCCAATAGGTAGTTTTTCTGTGTTCTTCATGCTACCAGTAGCTGACCAATGAGACCAGGATTTCTTTCTTTGATTAAGGCAGCAATAATAGTGGCACCTTGCCTCAAACTTTCCTGTAGCTTCTGATCATCCTGAGGAGAAACGATAAAATAATAATTATCTTAGAGAAAAAAAAGACATCACACATTAAATTTAATGTGTTATTTTTCAGTTTTTAAATATTTATTTTTACTTTTCCCCTCAGTTTTATGTCATGACAAATAACAATGTGTAAGGTTAAAGTATACAATGTAGTGATATAATATACATATATATTGTGAAATGATTATTACAATTAGGCTAGTTATCACATCTCTCACCTCACAGAGTTACTATTACTGGGGGAGGGGTGAGAACATTTAAGACCTACTCTCTTACCAACTTTCAAGTATACATTATTGTTAACTATCATCAGCATGCTGTACATAAAATTCCCAGAAATTATTCGCCTTATAACTGGAAGTTTGTACCCTTTGACCAACATTTCCGAATTTCCTTCTTTCCTCAGCCCCTGGTAACCACCATTCTCTTTTGTTTTCATGAATTCAAGGAGCCACTTTTCAAGGTCTGCTGCTCTTTAGACCTGATACACTACAGAACTCAGACCTTAGCAACTGGCATGGAGTTGTATTCCCAAATCAAAGAGAAATGCTTTTACAAGCACTTTTCATTATAGGCAAAAAATATTTGCTTAAGATATCAAGAAAAACAGTGACACAATTTCAAATGCTCAGTATGAAACAAGATTATTTTCTCTTAACCCAACATCTGTCCAACTTTGGCTCTTCACTGAAGTGTGAATATTTCATCAATGATGCAAAGCTTTTCTTCATCTTGTTTCTGAGTGTTTTCCAATAAAAGACTGTACGTACTGGTGTAGGGGAAAAAGCCATACTTGCTGCTTGTGAAGTAAGGATTAGGCAAATCTGTGAAATGAGTTATCTCACAAGTCGCTAAAATGTGTTTTTTGCCTTTGAAATCACATTGCCTATGAAAATATGTTCATTCTAATTATTTAGGCTTATTGAAGTTATGAGGGGATGCTAATAAGAAGGAAAAGTCAAAACAGAGCTAAGATATTTGTAAGGTCTCTATGTTATGAACTGGGCTATATTCACAAGAGAGGGGTCTGATAACCAGTCTTTAAACTTTGGCATCTTCCTCAATGCCTCATCTCAATGTACAATATATCACCAGGACCTGTTGCCTCCACTTCCTTAATGTTTCTTGAATAAGTGTACTCCTCTCCAACTGCTATCACCACTGCCAGCATAACACCTCAGCCCAAATTACTGCAACAATCACATACAGTCTCTCTAAAGTCTTGTCCTCTCCTCGCTTATTCCCACACAGCAATCAAAATACTCATTTTAAAATATAGATCTGATCACATCACTGTCCTGCCTTAAGTTCTCTGGAGGCTACCTTTGAACTTCAGGATTAAAATAAAACACTTTACCTGGTAATGAAAAGAGGCTTTTATCCTTCCAGCCTCTTCGTGCCGCTCCTTTACAACCACTCAATTCTCCAAGCCATATAAACTTTTAAGATTGCCCAAACAAATTATTTTTCTGCACTTTCATCCCATTGCACTAGCTAATTCCTTTGCCAGAAAAGCTGCCCCACAACCTTCCAAGCTTAGCCAACCCTAGTTACTCTTTGTGGGTCAAACCAGGTATCACTGACTTGAAATACACCTCAACTCCTATATTCCAGCCCAGTTTGGGTGAATCTGTTTCTACAGCTGTGAATTCCTCTAGCACACTGAATTCTTATAGTCTTTTTAGTTGACCATCTATTCCACCAGATGATGGGTTTCTTGATGAAACAAGTTTTCATTTTATCTTTGAATATGGAACATTTAATTTAATGCCTAACACATGGTAGCTCTCCATGAATCATAACCCAGTCAAAGCAAAGGAGGCACTGACTATGATAGGAGTATCATCACCCTTTCAAGTTAACTAGTTTGTTAACATTGACCAGTTTTCGGTAACTTCGTTTACTGCTGTTTGCATATGTAGCCAGAAGCCTGGCAACAGTACAAAGAAAATATTATCAAAGACTTTCCAAGTCCACCATGCCTCTGACATACAGGCCCTAGAGTTTCTCATCTATAACATTTGCTTGTGGTACTCTTTCCCATCAATTTCCCTGACTGGGTTCTAAAGTGTGGAGCTGGAGAAGATGCACAGGGGCTGACTGGTGGCTGGTTTATTTCTTGCAAGTTGGTTTTAATAACAATTTCAGTATTGGATTTCAAATGCTGTACTGGTTTCCGGTATGTCACAAGACCTAAATCACATATAAATAAATCATTCTAAAGCCAAATATGCTTGGTTTTAAAATGTGATTCACTTATATGGGAGTAGATATCATCCTTACCACATCATTCATAAACATAAAAATAAATAGTCTAAAACTGAGCACAATACAAATCAACTATAGATATGTATTTGTCACTCCATGATTAATTAATTGCAGTGTTGCAGGGTTTAAAATACACATCTACTTCCAAATCTCATTTATTAAATTGAGACGTACAACAGATGATGATAATTAAGGTTTCCCCTTCAAAAATAAACAGGAAAAAAAGGCTATCTTTGAAACTAGTTTATACTTGTCATAATGACAGCAACACAGTAACAAGTAAAGAAAAGAAGGGGAAAAATCTGTTTAAGATGGCAGGGTTATAAAAATCACATTCCTATATATTAGAATAAATCTTTATGCTCATTTTGATAGCTCCATAACTTATGTATCTTTAGCTAATGAATTTAAGTAAGAATGTTCTTTTAAGGATGAATTTACTTCTGCATTTTTTATAGGCATCATTTGGAAAGATTAGAACTCAGTGAGAAAAATCTGTTTGTTCACTATTTGTTTTCCCTTTCTGCCTGAGCTCTATCAATCATTTTAACCCTGAAAAATATGGAAATTTAAAACAGATTAAACAAGATGGTGAGACACATAGTACTCAGAAAATTCTTACATGTACAGAGATCAGACAGTCAAACAATTTATGGATTTCAAACTCATCTCAAAATTACATATCTCTTTAAAAGTATAGATAAAACAGGTAAGAAAAATGTAAACTCAGATAACTTAAAAGGAATTTCTTACTGCCAGTGAATAAGCAAAAGTGTTTGTAATCCTTAAGAGGGAGGGGAGCAGAGAAACATTATAGGTGGTCATTGTGCTATCATTCACACATATGTACATATATGTATCAATACATATGTTCCCTTGTGCCTTCCAAATATATAATAAAAATGTTTGAAGCTAAAATTAAGTAAGCAAAGTCAATGTGAATACTGAAAAATCATGTTGATAGTATGCACTTGATATGCAGTGATGAAAATGTCATTTATCTCCGTGAACTTCCTTCTGAAAGCCTATAACCTCAGTCTAATCATGAGAAAAACATCAGATGAATTCCAACAGAGGAGCACCCTGCAACATATTTCACGAGTACTCCTCCAAACTCTCAAGTTCATCAAAAGCAAAAGAAGTATGAGAAACTGTCACAGCCAAGAGAAGCCTAAGGAGGCATGACCACTAAAAGGAATATGGGATCCTGGAATAAAAATACACATCAGGTAAAACTGAGGGAACATGAATGAGGCTATGAACATTAGTTGTCAATAATAGGGGAAACTCGATGCAGGACATATGGGAACTCCATACAATCTTCTCAATTCTAAAAAATGAAGTATAAAAAATCAGAAGGCAAAGTAGCAGAAAACACAGCCTATAAAGAAAAGAAAAAAGTCAATTTCAACATATGCAGAAATGACCTATATTGGAATTAGCATGCAAGGATGGCAAAATAACTATGATTACTATATTAAAAATAGAGGAAGAGATAGAAACATTGATGAAAAATGGGAATTTTCAACACAGAATTGGAATCTATAATAAAGTATATTTTACAGCTGTAAAATTTAATACCTGAAATTAAGAATTAATTGGGCTGATTTAATACAAGATGGGTAGAGCAGAAGATAGTATTAGTGATGCTGAAGATAGTTAAAAAAAATCCTAACTGGTGAATTATTACTATGATCATCTTAATACTTTATGACAGTACTATTCCATTGCCCTATTCCCTATCTACCACTACATACCACCACCACCACCACTTCCACTACCAAGAAACCTCTTTAGTGCATTTAGAAAATCACACATGGTTATTACAGTAGCCACCTTATTTGGGAAAAGTCACTCCATGAAACAAACAAGAATAAAAAAATGTCAACTCCATTCCTAGAAAAACAATACAATACAATGTACATAGTATACAAATGACTAGACTGTAAACTGTAGCTGTATACTGCTATAGCTGGGCATAAATCACAGCTAGTTTTCATTTTGGCATATCAAGGTGATAAAATAGCCATTACAAAGGTACTGCAAGAAAAGTGGATGCCCCAATTTCCACAATAAAAAATAAAGAAAAATTACTGAAATTAAATTTGTCAGTAGTTTATGTACTATATGTAACTCTAGCAATTCCTAGGCTTCACGTTTACCTTAATTTTTGTGCACCAGCCATAAAGAACATAAACTGTAAAAATAGCACACCAATGTTTACATTCCCACACATACAAATCAAAAGCACACGTTTATTGAATTTAAATAAAAGAGGACATTTAATGATAAAAGATGTGTTAAAATATATATTTTGTCTTAAATCTAAATTATCATAGCTGTAATTAGTTGCTTTATTTTGTTCTGTTCATTTCATAATGAGGTCAAGTTTTTCAGAAAAACCTTAAAAAGAAATTTTTTTAAAATAAATTTTTTTAAGAAATAAGAAAAATGTTGCTTTAATATTTAGTTTCAAGACTGTTTAAAATCCAGAGAAATAAATTTGATATTTTATAATATAAAATTAGTAATACAGAACATTGTCCTAATTTCCAAGGAACACTTCTCTCCACAAAAGTATTTAAAACCTGTACAAAGAAAACATTTGTTTGAATATTCTAGTCTTCAATTAAAAGTCCAAGGAAGAATCATATTAATAATTCATGAGGCCTTAGCTTTCTGTAGAGCTTAAGAAAAAAATCATGGAAGTCAAGTTAAAAGC